ATGCAGATCAGCAGGCCTGATCAAACCCCGAAAATTTCAATTTTAAACACATTTTTCATGAGATCCAAGATCCATTTTCTCTTGTACTTAACTTTTTTTGCTGGCATGGCATTGCCTTGGAAGTTGAAGACAGGCACAAAATAAGCTTCAATAATTTAGTGAAACTTCCAGCTCGACTTTTCGCCTTTCAGCTTTTATGCCGTTTTTTCAGGCTTTTCCCGTCTTTGAAATACTTGCCACTGAGAATGCATTGTCTTCGGATATTGCTTACACTACAAGTGAATTGTCACATATACATCCCGACGTTAGCACTCGCCACTGAGGCATGCTTTATATTTGTGGTGCAGTTTCACATGTTTTACATAACCAACGAGCTTATTCTTCTTAATTCCCGTCGTGAAGTAAACAGTAAAAGTGAACCGTCCATAAAAAAATGACCGGAAATAGTTCAGTTAAAACAGTTCGACTGAGCTAGATTGGAAATTGATGTATATCCTCAGCTCAAATGGTAATGTTTTTACTTTCCCTTTTCAGTCCAGCGGTGGTTTTCTATGTCGAAAAGAATTTTAATTTCCTTTTTAAGTGCGTTAGTAATGAACATATTGATTTCTCCAGTGGCTGGCAGTATTGGCGATTTTTAATATTCTTTTTTTTTTTATGAGAGCTTAACTGATAAAATTTAGTGAAGTTACTGGCAAGGGATCATAGCTCATTTTAGTTACTCTGCGATGTACTTCTGGTGTTGAAAAAGAAGCCAACTAAGGGAAAAGGAGCACTGAAAAACATCAACATGAAGTGCTTACTGAAGGTTCCTCAGCTTTATTCAGAATTAATTTATTTTATACTTTCTTAACAGTTGAAATTTATTTTTATTTTTATGCTTTATGTCATTTTACCGAAAAAACCGGAAGCATGACATTTGTAGGCGTCAGCAACACACCTTGAGGATGCTGGATTTCGGCAAGCAGCAGTTGAAGAGCTGTTCAGTATTCATCTCGAGGCAGCACGAATTTTACAGCAAAGCTGTGCTTTTCCCGATGCTCTCATTCCTTTGCTTCATCCTGTACGTTTTTTTTTTCCGCCTTTAAATCAACTTTCACGCATTTTTCAGCGTAACAGTTTGTGATTTATCAACACATTTCTTTTCACCGTCTTCAACTCGAGAGCCACAAAAGCTCGGAGGCTAAAATTTCAGGGGAATGTTCCACGCCTGCACGCGACCCTGCAAGTCGGAATTTAGCGTTCACGTACGTTCAGTCCTCACGTGCGAACACGTAATAATTTCGGCGACAAAACTACTAACCCGGGACCACAAAAGATAAATTCAAAATTTTAGGGTAGTTTTTCAAGCCCATATGAAATTTCAAAAATTTGAATTTCGCTTCCACTTGTGCTTGAGTCAAATGTTTGAATCGTAAGAGTTTTGGCGTAAAATTTTCTGCCTCGGAACTGGCAATTTGGAAAGCCAAAAATTTAGCA